GGCAGAACATTCATTTTTATGGTTTCAATCCTTTGACTTAGACTCAAATATGGAATAAGATTCCATTTTTCAAGGTCTTTCTTTATTGTCGAAAAAAGAGGGGTATAGTTTTTCTCTAAAATTGATGACAGATCTTTATGAAGCACCACACCCAAGTATTTAAGAGATTCTGTTCGCCATTTGAATGGGTATATTTTTCTAAAGGGCAGTGGAGGGTGCCAATATGAAAGGATTTCAGTTTTCTGTATATTTAGTTTGTATCCGGACATTGGACCAATATTGTGAAGAAAATGCATCACATTAGGAATTGAAGTTTCTGGTTTGGTCAAAAATAACAGAACATCATCAGCATAGCAGGCAATTTTGTGTTCCGTCCCATCAATTATAACACCGCTAATTGTTTTTGACTGTCTAATATGCTGGGCCAATGGTTCCAAGTACAAAGCAAATAAAAGCGGAGACCAGGCACAACCCTGTCTGACTCCTCTTTCCAAGGTCAGTGGGTCCGTCATGTGACCGTTAACTTTAATTCTTGAAGTTGGACCATCGTAGAGAGCCTCAATATTTCTTATTATTAGGTCATCAATTTGAAATTTATTCAGCACTTGAAATAAATATGGCCAGCTAACAGAGTCAAAAGCTTTCTCTGCGTCCAGACTAAGTATCACTGCTTTGCTTTGCTTTGCTTTTTGTATATGATTCATTATATGTAAAGTTCGTCTTATGTTATCTTGGGTCTGTCGCTTGTTAATAAATCCAGTTTGATCATTGTGAATTAAATTTGGGAGTATCTGTTCCATTCTTTTAGACATAATTGAGGTATATATATACGGTAGTCCACGTTCAGAATCGAGATTGGTCTATACGAAGCACAGTCCAGACGATCTTTCCCTTCTTTGGGTATTAAAGATATGATAGCCTCTTTCCAGCTTGGAGGAATTTGAGCTTTTTTGAGTGCCCAGTTGAATGTAGTCAAGAGCAGGGGAGTAAGTGTTTCCTTTAGGGCCTTATACCACTCTGAGGTGAACCCATCGCTCCCCGGAGATTTGTTTTGTTGTTCTTTAATCTCTTGATTGCGCTTTGTATTTCCAGAACAGTTATTTCAGCTCCTAGTTTTTTATTTTGCTCTTCAGTCATGACAGGTAGATTGAGAGTATCCAAAAAAGATTTTATTTCGTCTTCTTTACATTCTGATATTTTAGAAAAGAGTTTTTTGTAAAAAGATTCAAATGATGACTGTATTTGATCCTGTTGAGTTAAAATTACATCAGTTCGCTTATCTCTAATCTTAAAAATTGCTCTTTCAGCTTCTTGTTTCCTAAGTTTCCATGCTAATAATTTAGAAAATTTTGATCCACTTTCGTAGTATTTCTGCCTGGTAAAAAGCATTTTTTTAATTATTTCCTGTGAAGCCAGATCATTGATTTCATCTCTTATCTTTTTGATTTCCTGTAATGTTCTGGGGTTTTTATTCTTGATATGTTCTGCCTCTACCAATTTTAGTTTGTCCTGTAAATCATTTAGCTTTTTCTCCCTTTGTTTCTTTTTGGCAGAGGCAACTGCGATAATTTTGCCTCTCAGTACCGCCTTAGCTGCATCCCAGAAAATAGGCGGAGAGGTTTCACCATTATTATTTTCCTCTACATATGCCTGAATGTCGTTGGACATTTTTTTCTTAAACAGAGGGTCATTAAGTAGACTGGTATTAAATCTCCAGAGTGTGTTTTTTCGTTTTTCTTCCAGGTCTACAGTGATGTAAATTGGGGCATGATCACTTAAATCTATTGTGCCTATGTCCGCATTGGTAATTTTTGATCTATCTTTATTGAAAATAAAAAAGTAGTCTATTCTTGTATAGATCATATGTGGATTAGAAAAATGAGTGTATTGGCGAGTATTGGGGTTCATTTCCCTCCAAATATCAGTTAGCCCTATATTCTTTATTAGTTTGCGAAATTTGTTACTTATAGTTTTTCCAGTGTTTTTTGAGTGAGATATGTCTAAAGTGGGCTGAATGTGGAGGTTAAAGTCACCACCGCATATAAGGGTTCCCTCAGAGTGGTTTGCAATCAGGTCCATGATATTAGTATAGAAAGTGATATCACTTCCTGGTGGAGCGTAGACATTTAGTAGAGTAAACACTTTTCCGTTAATAGCTCCTTTAACCAAAGAGAATCTACCATCCTTATCTTTGTGTACAAAACTCTGTTCAAAGATTACTCGACTTGAGATCAGTATAGCCACTCCTCTTTTATGTTTACCTCTGTATGAGGAATAGTACAGTCTAGTATCACCAAATTTAGTTAGTTTTTGATGTTCTAGGTCATTTAGATGGGTTTCTTGTAAGTATATAATATCTATTTTTTCTTTTCTCATCCTTGTTAGTATCTTTGATCTTTTAATTGGGCTCAATATGCCATTAACATTATAAGATGCTACTCGTAATTTGTCGGATGCCATTGAGTTAACTGATTAGAATTCACCTGTTTTAATTTGTAAATGATATCATACTCTCTAGTCGAACACAATACGCTTATGCACGAACTGCCAAAATCCATAACAAACAGAAAAACACAGAAATACGTAAAAAGAGGAAGTAGAAAAAAAAAAGGGTTCATACCTAAAACGTGCAGTGAACCCACAGCCCAGCCAATGATATGGATGAAAAGTGGAGGGAAAACCTTTCCCATTGAAGGGCCCTCCAGGGCGACTCCCCCTGCCATCCTCCATGCCCAGTCCAACCAAGTAAGGACTGGGTACATCACCTCCCTAGACCGCTATGCTCTACTGCCATGGTCTGACTGTCTTAATTCCCGCACACAAGATCAATTACATCCAGTACTTATGTGTATGCAACTCAGAGCCTTAAACTGCCAACATGAGGGGCCTGAACAAGTTTAAATGACAACTAAGAAAATCAAATAATACAAATATGCCTGTGTTATTACCACCCTTGTTCAGTGTAATAAACTAGACATTAACCAGGCAATATATACTCAACCAGCCTGTCCATAAATGAAATTGCTTAAAACAAATGGACTACGCAGCTATCATCTTTGAATTATAATAATCATAATCTCTGAAATCTCTCGTCCAGAGCAGAAGAGTCAAATGGTTTAAATAAATAGGTTACGTAGTAATAATGTTAGTGTCATCAAAATAACAGAAATGAGTCCACACACCCCACGTTGGAACATCCAGGCGCTGTCCTTCACTTCTCCTTGTTCCGTATTTTCTTAAGGAGCTCATCTGCTTCCGCTGGTGTCTTGAGTAT